GTTTTTGAGTCTTTAATTAATATGTATAAGTAATAAATGGGTACTATATTAAACTTTTTGATGACACGTCATATCATTTGCAAATTTGGTTTAAAAATTTGGTCAACACATGACTTTTTGTTGAAGATTATATTTGAATTAGAACAAGGCTTGGCAATTCCTAACACGACCCGATAACCCGACACGACACGACACAAAATTAACAGATGTTCGGGTCGACACAATAACAAATTAGGTCGTTATCGGGTAACCCGATAAGCACTTGTTAAGATAACGGGTTGGTTCGGGTATACATGTGGGTAACACGATACACAATAAGCAAAATATTAATTTTATAATTTTATATGACACACCCCGACCTAGATCGAGGCATGTTGGCCGTCACGTGAGGGTGACGTAGCCATGTGCACAATGCGGAAGCAATAGAGATATAAGGAATTACGAATAAACAAAAACCAAATCAACTAGAGTACTAGATAAGATAAGGTGCAAGTGCGAGATTAAGTGTGAAATACACAACTAGAGCATAATATCTTAGATGCAGTCAAGCAAAACAAATACTAAGAATACAACACCTGAGGGTGATCCTACATAGTGATGTTCTGTCAGAACCCCCGTCAAAATCCTCGTGATCCACCAAAGCACTTCTACTTAAAACCTGGAGGGGCGCAAAACAGAAAGTGTGAGTGGGCAAAAACAAAGCTTTTCAAAATCATTTCATTTCTCAAAAGTTCTAATCCCTCGCCGTAAAACCTGTATAATTTCCCCAAAAAAATAGAATATATATACATATCTCAAAACCATGCTCAGAAAAACGATATTCATAAGTATGCCATGCCAAAGTATCTTAATGCAATGCTATAGGTAAACCGGGCAAAATATATAAATATCAATATCGCATCAGCCAAATCTCTCTAACTCAAACTGCACTGCTGAGTATACAACTCATAACCAATCTCAATCATATCAAATCAAATCCTACACACGAATCGGAACCACCTACAATGGTCTGTATGACAAGACTAGGTGTAAAGTAAATATGCTCTAATGCTACGATCAGGTGAAGGCTGTGCGAATGATCGCGAGTCACCTACGAGTCTAAACCACCTACAGTGGTATGCACGACAAGCCTATGCACCTAACTTGGATCCAAGGTGAGCATATGGTGCGGGAGGTGAACATCACGTGAAGGACTGTGCCCTAACTCTGGACGGGAGCACTAACACCAGGGTGCAAGTTTATGAGCTCTCAATACATTACAAAATATCTCACATAACTGAAACAATCTCATACCTTTGATTTATGAACTTACCTGGCACTTACCTGTGTGTCCGCAGCACCAATCATGAATGTATGCAACTACTAATGCATAATTAAAATAGATAGATACTTGCATGGCATTTCCAAAACATATATTCATTTAAATTCATTTTCTGGGAAAAATCTCAAGTATATAGGTATATACGGAAAACCAAAAGCCCACTCACTAGTATGTCGAATGGTCGTAACCCTGAGCCTCAATTGATGGCGCTTGTCCTCATGATAAGTCTCACCTATATGCGAAATAACTTAATAAACGTTATTTAAAGCACATAACCAAAACTAGGTAATAACTTCTCATGCATTGCTCAAATGGTGTATTTGAATATACCACCATGATCTACTCAACCTCAGGAACATTCCCAAATTTTTAGAAAATTTTTCCAACGTCCCACGCGTGGCCAACCCTGACGAAATCCTTAACTGCCATTAGGGAATATTCCACTAAAAATTAGAATATTCTATTAAAACTAACCTGACGCCGTTAGAATATTCCGTCAAGTTTGACGGAATATTCTCTGTCTTCTTCCTTCGAACTCCAGTGACCGTCATAGTTGCCGGAAAACTGGGGAATTTTCAAACCTTAATATCTCAGTCCATACACAACCAAAATCCATGAAATTTGTACCAAAATGAAGCTTTCAACAAGTAGAACAAAACCTTACCTTTCAAAAGTCCTAAAACCGACGATACTCAACTTCCTGACGTCCAAATCACTTCATTTTTCTTCTCCGAGCTTCGTGAAGACGATCTAAAGCTTCCTATAACCTTAGAATCTTCCAAAAACTCCACATTTACGTGTGCATGAACAGTACTTCGAATCAGATGTTCTTGGTTCTTGGTTTTCGAAGGTTTTGAGTTCAACCAAAGGTATGGTTGGATTCCTAGGCTTGCTAGGAGTTCAAAACCACCCTTCAAACCTTCAATCCATGCATGAAATGCTTGATCCAAGGTTTGTCCGTACACTATATAGAATTTGCAGAAAATTCGAAAGGTAGGAGAGAGAGAGATATCTGAGTATGTGGTATGCACGTGTGGTGTATGTGTGTGGTCGTAGTTGGGTCGCCAACCAGCACAAAACCTTAAGTCCTTTATTTCTAATTGGTCCCAAAATATTAGGGACTTAACGAATTGGTCCAAATCCAAAATTTAAACCACACAACACCACAAACACTCAAGGGCATATTTGACATTTCACGCCTAAAAATATATTATATTAAATATTAAAAATTGGTGACCATTGGATCGGCTTAAATATACATACCATTCAATTTCTTAAGTGTTATATGTACAAAATAAATAATTTAAATCTACTTAATAAATATATATATATATATATATATATATATATCACTGTTCTAAAAAATCTCCGCCTAGCGCCGCCTAGGCCCCGCCTAGGCACTAGGCCCCAGCCCACCGCCCCGATTAATGCCTAGGCCCCAACCCACCGCCTAGACCACATAGGCACCCGCCTAGCCCGCCTAGGCATCCGCCTAGCCCACCTAGGCATCCGCCTAGACCCGCCTAGGTTGCAACTCGCTTAGACAAAAAATACATAACTTTCATTTTGCATTTTGTTTTTTTTCCAATAAATTGTAAGAGACTTGTTGCATACTTGAATGAACAAACATTATATCCTTATTTCACATGTTTTCATTATGTTCCAATACTTCATTATATATATGCATTCTATTTTGTAATTTATGATGAAATTATATATATTTCAAGTAGAAGTATACACTTATTTACATGAAATATGATAGATTTACTTAAATCCGCCTAGTCCGCCTAGGCGCCCGCCTAGCCGCCTAGGCGCTAGGCCCCAGCCCGCCGCCCGACTAGCGCCTAGCGACTTTTAGAACCTTGATATATATATATATATATATATACATACCATTGAACTTGATGGGATACGAATTCTACGAAACTAATTTCAACGATCCAATCATCAAACTTGTTTGTATATGCTTCGAGATCGCATCAGCAAAAAATCGCAAAAATCAAACATTCAGAGATCAAGTGACGGGACAAAACTTTTCGACGGTTATCAACGAAAAATTACAATTTAACGATTATTTCAAATTTTGATGAATTTTTACAGCTACACTTCTTGACCCTATATGAATATGATGAATGAACTCGATCTTCAATTAAAAATATTTACACTAGTGGACACCACAAAATCTTATGTTATAATTAATGAAAGTATGAATAAACTCTTAAGTGCTAGTGAATCTATTGTTTTGATGGAATACGCATTCTATGAAACTAATTTCAATGATCCAACCGTCAAACATGTTCGTATATACTTCGAGATCGCATACTCCAAAAATTTCAAAAAACAAACGTTTAGAGATCAAGTAACGGGACAAAACTTTTCAACGGTTATAAACGAAAAATCATGATTTAACGGTTATTTTAACTCTGATTTTGATGATTTTTTACAGGTACTCCTTGACCCTATGTGAATACAATGAATGAATTCGATCTTCAATTTAAAATATTTACACTAGTGGATACCACAAAATCTTATGTCATGATGATCGATGAAAATTGAGGATTTTGTAAAATGAATAACATGCATGCTTTGTGTTCCATTGGCAAGGTTTAAACTTTTGAGAAAGGCTTCACAACCTTGAAAACAAAAACTCTTTCATTTTGCATATCCTTGCACATTTAATATTTTGTAATAGACTAGTAGTGTATGGATGTTTGTTTATTAGGCTCTTATTTTCAAGTGTATATGTAGTACTTAAACGACAAATGTGTTTTAATGTTTTAAAGTAATATTTATGTAGTAATGTGTGGTATATGCAAATTTAATATAAAAAAAAATTTCTTAACGGGTCGGGTCACTTTTCCCGTTGGGTAAAGTGACCCAACCTGTTAAGGACCCATTAAGATAACGGATGTGACACAACACGACCCGTTAAGATAACAGGTGTTACACAGACACGACCCGTTTGCCAGGCTTAATTGGAACAAATGTTTAAAAATAACAATCTACATAGCTATTAGCTACTAATTAAAAATAAATTAACAACCAAATAAAAATTCGTAAAAGTTGAAAATAATAAACATGCACTTAGCATTTCGAACTTAGGACCTCTCGTGAATTTTAAACAACGAAAACCATTTATTTTAATTAAACTTCTTGATCATTTAGTCAAATTTTATATATTTATACTCTTATGATGAAAAGAAATTTGTAAAAATTGAAAAATAAATAAGCACACATGGTGTTTTGAACCCAAGACCTCTTCATTAATTTCAAACAACAAAACCACCAATTCTAGTTCAATTTCTTTGTTATTAAACCAAATTTTATAAATTTATACTCTTATGAAAACATATATAAATATACCGTCCTAATAATTTTGGTTCCCCCAATTATTTTGGGCCTCGGACGGTCCCAGCACTGGGTCTGGGCCGGCCCTGTAAGCCTCACGTTTAACACATCAGCAGTTAACATACAAATTGATGGACAAGGAAACGAGGTCTGACAATGCAACGAATTCTTAAGTTAATATATGACATTGCAACGAATTCTTGAGTTTGTTATGCGACTTCAAGTTGTGGTGTGATAATATGTAATTTACCCTTTTTATTTTGAAAAAAAAAAGTATGACTTTATTATATAACCCAAAGTAACAAGAAAGATAAAAAGGGAAGGTGATGCAGTTCAGGTATAATAGCCGTTTTTTCTTTAGCTTTTTCTTCTCTGTTTCTAAACCTCTTTCCTTCCTTCTCTTTCCACTCCAAAAAAGGAGATATAGCTGCATTGATTCTCTCCATTGCCATTACCACCTTTCCTCATTCTCTCCTTCGCTGTCTCTCCTCCTCCACCCCTACATACGTTTCTTTCTCTCTACTTTTTAGAGAGAGAGAGAGAGATTGACAGTTCAGAGAGAAAAAACAGCCATCATCACCGCAGAAAGAGAGAGAGAGAGAGAGAGAGAGAGTGGTTTGAAATGGGTTCTTCAGGGCAGAGCAGCAGCAACTACGATCTGTCGTTCAAGATCTTGCTGATCGGAGACTCCGCCGTCGGCAAAAGTAGTCTGCTTGTTAGCTTCATCTCCAACTCTGTTGACGATCTTGCCCCCACCATTGGTATTATCAACTTTTGAACCCTTCACTTGGGAGGTGATAAAAATGTCATTTTGCTAATTCTTGTGTTAGTGGTCTAATGAGATGAAATGTAGATAACTAAGCAACCAAATAGTATATTACAGTTGGATCTATGTTTGGATTTTTGAAAGTCAATTGGCCACTAACTAATATCCTTATGATTAAGAAGATAATATTGCAGACGCGGGTTAGGTCAATTGGGTAGTGCACCTACACTCTTGCAGTTAAATGCGAATCTATCTTCGTGTAGATTAAGGTAGTTAGAATAGTGTACCGTCAATAACAGAGAATTATTTTTTTTTTGGGAATACCGAGGAAGGGGCTCGAAAAAGTTAGGGGATGTAGTGAATTTGAACTGATTGGGACAACCATTGTGGTACATTTGATGAATTTTGTTGCATTGTTTGTAGGTGTAGATTTTAAAATCAAGCTTCTCACTGTAGCTGGGAAGAAAATCAAGATGACAATTTGGGACACAGGTAAAGCTTTACACCAAGTTTTCACATCATTATATTTGATGAAATTGGGAAATTGTCTCATAAGATACCAAATCACATCATGTAATATTGTAGCTGGACAGGAGAGGTTCAGAACGTTAACGAGCTCTTACTACAGAAATGCCCAAGGAATCATCCTCGGTACATTATCAAAACTTCTCCCGCTTCTCTTAGTAGCATCTGTTTCCTTATCATAGAATCGTCTGCGTTGTTTTAGTGTATGATGTGATCCGGAGAGACACCTTTACCAACTTATCGGATGTCTGGGCTAAAGAGGTGCAACTGTATTCGACGAACCATGACCGTGTCAAGATGCTTGTTGGGAATAAAGTTGATAGAGTAAGTTTCGTGTTGTCCGTGTCTATCTTTGAGAAACTCCATGTTTTTAGCTGTCTGGTCTCTGGTGAAACCTTTCTTGTTATCTCAGTTTCTTGAACAAGTTACGAAATCGATTCTTTGCAATTTCAGGAATCGGAAAGGGCTGTAAGTAGAGAAGAGGGGATCTCACTTGCAAAAGATCTTGGATGTTTGTTTCTTGAATGTAGCGCTAAAACTCGAGAAAATGTGGAGCACTGCTTCGAAGAGCTAGCATTGAAGGTACTTCTGAGAAAGTTGTCCCTAAAAACTTGTTAATATAATTTTAACAGTATAACTTTCTAATCATATTGCTAAATGCTAATTACTTAATAGCTCAAAGCAGTTTTCGTACGATTTTATGGACATACGGTACATTTTTTCTGTTCCCAATTCTAATCAATGGGGATTGTGCAACAGATAATGGACGTTCCTAGTCTCTTGGAAGAAGGTTCAACAGTGGCAAAGAGAAATATTTTGAAGCAGAAACGGGAAAATCAAGCACCACCTAGCGGTAGTTGTTGCTCGTAAAGTGGCGTCATGCGCACATCATATGAAGCTTGACTCACAACATGAAGAGATAACGTATATGTAATTTTGATCTGTTTTCGTCTTACTGCATAAATGTTTGTTTCAATCATATAATGCACAAATTCGCACACATATAACATACTTATTAGCTTGTGTAAATGTAATCTCCTTGTTTTCGGCCGTGTTATGGAAAAAGAAACGTTTTCATGAGCAACATTTAATACATGTACATGGACTATGTTATATAAAACTAGAAACGTTTGGTGTTACGACATTGAATACATAAACATGGACATGTTGGGATGTCTAAAATTGTAGCAATAGCGACTTGCAAAACCCCACTTCCTGACATGATAGGACAATGCCCATAAGTTTTCTGTACATCCCCACATGTTAAGTTCTTCAAGATCATTGCTAGAAGAAAACTTTCTTGCACCCGTTGAATGAAACGAGTGTTTCACATTTATGGTTGTGTGCCTCTCAAATGAAATAGCCAATGTGAGACACCCGTTTCGTGCAACGGGTGCAGGAAAGTGTGCTTTCTGCCTTTTTTAACTATAAACAGTTTGGTCGGAAACTAAATAACCAAACCTGTTAAAATTGAGTGCTCCTCCATGTTTGTAATTGCTGCTATTGCTCGGTGGTTCTTCCGTGCTTTTGAGAAACTCATATTCCTGGAAGATTTTCTTTCATGTCACAGCATCTCAATAAGAATATACCCGAGGGAATCATTCTTGAAGGCCAAGTAAGAATCCAGTGAAGACGAAGTTCTTCCCTTGCAATCCTCAGCAATATGCGGAACAAGAAGATTATTACCCCTCTTTCTACCTAACCCTCTTCATCTCGGAAAACCCAGTGAAGATCAGGAATATATCCACTTTCTTTGATCAAGACTGAAAGTGAATTTAAGCTTGAATAAATTTCGTCTGATTGAAGGTGTGATGTGTCTGAGGCAACAAAACAGTGAACCTGACTTTTTACAACAATCCAACTTATTCCCGGAGGCTGTTTTAAACCCTTTTCCCTGAGCATTGTTCTTGTCTGCCTGACCTCTAACCACAGCCCTGCTGCAGCGTATATATTAGATACCAAAACATAATTCCCTGCATTCATGGGTTCTAATTCGACAAGTTTTTCAAAGATGGTTCCAACTAACTCAGTGGCAGAATGAATCCGACAAGCATTGAGCAAGGCTCTCCACACTGATGCATCCGGTTCAATAGGCATTGATTCGATGAACTCTTTAGCTTCATCTAATCGGCCTGCGCGACCAAGAAGGTCAACAACACAACCATAGTGAACAAGCTCAGGTGATATCTTAAAATCGTGTACCATAGTGTGAAAAAGCTGCAATCCTATCTCTGTCAAACCAGAATGCCTGCAAGCAGATAGAACAGCTACAAAAGTTGCCCCGTTTGGACGGATACCATCTTGTATCACTCGTGAAAACGCACGAATAGCATCATATCCTTGACCGTGCATGCTGTACCCAGTAATCAAGGCATTCCATGAAATAATATCCCTCGTCGGTAAAATTCTAAAGATATTTTCAGCATTTTGCATACTCCCACTTCTTGCATACATTGATATAAAAGCATTTGCAAGAGGTAAATCAAAACCAAAAGAGAGTTGCTTTCTAGTTGCATAAGCATGCAAGCATTGACCTAGAGGCAGAGAGGCAAGTTGGGTACATGATGATAGAATATTTATGATCGTCACCGAGTTGGGTTTCACTTCTACAACCATACGGCTAAATAGTAACTGAGCTTTGTCAATTTCGTTGTTCTTGATGTAACTGGTAATCAAAGAATTCCATGCGATCACGTCTCTGCTGGAACATCCCTCAAATAAAGTTCTAGCTGTTGCTTCTTCACCGCAATTCATATATATATCTGTTAGTGCAGTGTTTAAAGGGAGGTCAACTTCAATCCCATGTTTTATCACAAAACCGTGAAGTGCTCGCACTGTATTTAAACAAGTTCCATCTTCACAAGTAGCAAGGATAGAAATTATTGTGTGCGAGTTAGGCTTAGTTTCAGAATCTCGCATCACCGCAAACATTTTCCATGCTTTGTCTTGTAATCCATTGCAGGCCATTGCCCGGATCAGAGTATTCCATGAGATAACGTCTGAATGTTTCATCTCAGCAAAAACCTTCTGAACAAATTCAACGCAGTTCAACTCAGCATACATATTCAACAATCTATTCCCCAGAGAAACATCCATTTTCATCCCACTCTTCCTCGCTAGAGCATGCAAACTTTTACCCTTCCTCAGGCCATCAACTAAATTTTCACACACCGACAACATTACAACAATAGTTCTTTCGTCTTCCTTGATTCCTTCTATTCGCATTCTAGAAAACAAGCTCAAAGCTTCCTCATAAAAGCCATATTCAACATATGCAGATATCATGGAGTTCCACAAAGCAACATCGCGGTTGGGGACAGCTTCAAACAATTCACGCGACAACTCAAAACATCCACACTCGGTATACATATTGAGCATCGCATTTACTGTGAACAGATCACCACTGTAACTATTCTTGATAACCATTTGATGAATTTGTCTGCCCAGTTCAATAGATCCAATTCCTGCACAGGCTTGAATGACAACCAGCAGTGTAGTAGAGTCGAACTTAACACCATCCACAAGCATCTGCAAAAAAAGCTTCAAGGCCATCAGGTGCTCCCCAACATCAACATAACCGGTAATTATTGCATTCCAACTAACAATGTTCCTCACAACCATCGAATCAAACATTAGGCGCGACATTTTGATGTCAAATCTCAGATAAAACCCAATCAATGCAGTACCCACATGAGCATCCAAATCAAGGAGTCCATTCCTGAAACCAAATCCATGTATCTCCTTTCCTGATCTCAACTGCGAAACCTCCCTACACGCCAAAAGCAATGCAACCACACTACGTGAATTTGGTCTCAATCCCTCATTCTGCATCTGCAAAAACAACAACACAGCCTCCCGGTAACAACAACACCCCACATACCCATGTATCAAAGCATTCCACAAAACCAAATCTCTCTCCCTCATTTCATCAAACACGTCAACTGCATCATCAACAAAGCCGCCTTTGAAGTAAAAATCGACAAGGGCAGTCCCAATTCTAACATCTTTCATCAAACCCGTGTTCCGAATGCTCGAATGTATTCCCTTGCCTCTCTCAACGGCGCCCAGCCTCGCACATGCCTTGAGAACCAGAGGCAGAGAGGCGCTATCCGGTGCCACTCCAAGAGATTCCATCTGGGTATATGTTGAGAGGATCGCACTGTCATTTTTTAGCCTGGCGTGGTGCTTTATGATCAAGTTCCAGTCTTCTGGTTTTGGGTTTTGGATTTGGAGCTGTTTGGGTGTGGGAGGTGGTGTTTGCAGGCTTAGGTTGACAGGTACATCCATTGGCAGAGCTCCCTTCACATTTGGCGGGAGATTGTGAGATTACGTTATTTGTCATGTTTGTTTTTCTTAAGGTTATCACGTTGTGCTAGATTTTTCAATATAACCGGAACACAAGTAAAAAGAAAATGAAAAATATCTCTCTACTTATATTATGATATGTGATGTATCATCTTGTATTCCGATACAGGAAAAAATGAGTACATGAAAAAATCTCTCATTGTCTGGTATCTTCACAATGAGAGAATTACGTGAAATCAGTACATCTCCAATGTGACATTCTCATCCAATAACGTAGAAAAAATCTCTCATTGTTTGGTTTTTTGATGTTAAGAGCATTTACCATTGCTCCTGAGGTCGACTTTAATCAGCACTCCCGAAACACGGGGCTTTACGCTATTACTTTCGAGAACAGACTTCGAGCATAAATCTGCACGAGTGAACAACAATATTGAGAAATTGTCTTCTCATGAGTCTCACTCCAGTGCATTTGAGCAGTGACTAACGATAAGCGTAAAGAACCCACGAAAACGGTGAAAAGGCAGAGAAAACTAAAAAAAAAAATGCATATATGGAGTCGGAGAAACCGAGCTATTTTTCTACATTCGATATTCTGAAATCTGAGGCTGTAATAATAAACAAAGAGGTGAAAATCCTCAACATTTTGGTGTTGCTGACTGATCATCAACAAAAGCAGAGGACATCGCGATCCTTAAAAAAAATATTCTGATAGTAAAGCCTACTGGCACGTCGTAGCAGCAGAAGCAGCCTCCAAAATTCTCCTAGCTTCTGTGTCGGCTTCCGGTAAGTCACTTGGGATCTGCCAGAATTTTCAGTGAGACACCACAACAGACTATTGCAGAAACGATTAATAAGTATAGAATTTCAAACACAAACCTTTCCGTATAGGTTTGCCTTGGTAGGTGAAGCTCCGGAAGCCAGCAACAATCTTACGATATCAGCATGCTCGCCTCTTGCTGCGTGATGGAGAGGCTGCGGAAGAACATGAACATATACAAAACTAAGTCCAAAGTGCAACTTTTAATACACAGTCCCCATTTAGAAAGGGAATTGTTATCGCTACTCCAAAAATCTAATTGTACACTCCAAAGTTTCTATATATAGAAAGATGCTTATGAAGAGTGCACAATTAGATTTTTGGAGTGCCAATACTAGTTTCTTTTGGAAAATGCACGAAACTTTTTCCACTATTTGAATTCCCATGTCAAACACTACAAGGATGTGATTTGAGATATACTCACAGTGTCACCTTCGGCATCAACTGTTTCTAGCATTCTCTTTACACGCTCAGAATCGTTGGCACTGTTAATTAAAAGTTGAACCACTTCGGTGTATCCTGCATCAGTCATTTGAGGAAAAATTAAAAAAAATCAAACAGAAAGATTATTTATACATCATAATAGTTAGAATGTTCTTATAGCCCTACCACCGGCACAAGCATCATGCAAAGGAATTGCCCCGTCTTCATCCTTAGCCTCCAAATTTGCACCTCTCTCCAAAAGTAACTATATCGATACAATTATTTTCAGCTCAAAGTACCACTTCCAACGAAATAAAAATAGAACTACAAATTAAGCAGACTACTGACCTGGACACAAGAAAGATTACCATAGAGACAGGCCAGATGGAGAGCTGTGTCTCCATCTTCCACTGCATCATCAATGCTGCCTACTAAGTTATCTGTACACAAATCAGAAAGAAGGGGAATCGGGAAAGCATCAGTATAAATTAAATAATACCCAGAAATCAAAATTGAGAAATTAAATACCCCAAGAAAACAAATTTAATGAATCGTGCATATCGGTACAATGAAATAACTAAAACGGGCAGGTATTAAAACACATAAAATCAAACGGCTTTTGTGATAATCATTTTGCTTTTAGCTTTTGTATAATAAAATGTACACAAAACTAAAATTGAAAATAAAAAACCATGCTCATTAATTACCACTTTCAAGTTTTGTTTTCATTCATTCCTCTCCCCGCATACTTTCCTCATATCCAAACACAAAAAGTTAAAGCTACAAACTAAGAACCATGAACGAAGTCCTTATCAAAAGGACCCGTTGTTCCCTCTTTCAAGAATTTGTTTTCATTCATTCCTCTCCCCGCATACTTTCCTCATATCCAAACACAAAAAGTTAAAGCTACAAACTAAGAACCATGAACGAAGTCCTTATCAAAAGGACCCGTTGTTCCCTCTTTCAAGAATTTGTTTTCATTCATTCCTCTCCCCGCATACTGTCCTCATATCCAAACACAATAAGTTAAAGCTACAAACTAAGAACTATGAACGAAGTACTTATCAAAAGGACCCGTTGTTCCCTTTTTCAAGAATTTGTTTTCATTCATACCTCTCCCCGCATACTTTCTTCATATCCAAACACAATAAGTTAAAGCTACAAACTAAGAACTAAGAACGAAGTCCTTATCAAACAGGCCCGTTGTTCCCTCTTTCAAGAATTTGTGTTCATTCATTCTTTTTCTTTTTTTCTTCGCCTATATACTCTCCTCAATCCAAATACAAAAACTAAAACCTAAAAGCTAATAACGAAATAGTTATCAAACGAAACCAAAGCTTCTAGGTACTCTAATCAGTCAAACACAATCTAAATTAAGCTTGTATAACCAAACTGCACTGAAAATACTCGGGAAATTAAGTTGTTTAAGTTAATTGGGTCGATAAGTATAGAAAAATTAGGCAAAATGACTAAATCAAATCATAATCAACCAATTAAGAAATCAAGTTGAAATCAGCTGGAAAAGAGAAGTGGCTATACCAAGAGCGAGGCGAAGGGCGTCGAGGTCGCCCTGCTGAGAGGCGTCTGCGATGGCGCGAAGGTGGGGAGGCGCGTGAGCGTCAAGCTCCTCCAAACCCTCTTCCTCGAACAGAGCGTTTTCGTCCTCGTTGTCCTCTTCCTCCATCAGACCATTCCTCCGCCCGGGAACCGCCATGCCTTGTGAAGTTTTGGGGGTTTTTGTTTCGCTGCTCTCCAGAGAGTGTTCGAATTTTAGGGGTTTAGAGGGGGTGCGGCTGATCCATTTATAGGTCCTTTGTTAAAATTACAGTTTTGGGCATTTGGAAACCATACTCTTGCAAAATTGAAATTGTATACTGAAAATTAGGTCTGGCAATTCCTGACACTGATAACTCAACACGACATGATATGAAATTAATAGGTATTCGGGTCGACATGATAATGAATCGGATCGTTATCGGGTAATCCGATAAGCACCTGTTAAGATAATCCTAAAAAAATATTATAATAATTATCTCTACTAATTAATAAAACATTCATTATCAACCAAAACCCCATACAATTACCAGTTTAACCCTCTAATTAAGACAGAACATGAATAAGACATATGGGGCATAAATGTAATTTCACACAATCAAATTTTGCTGTTTTTTTTTCAAAACCTCACCTACATATAATCCTAACATATCTCTAATTAAAAAAACTTCTCATTCCCACATTCTATATCACTCTCTTCCTCTCTCCTTCTATTTCAAAAACAAAAATAAAAAAATTTCTCACACACTTTGTGTGCGCCCATATGCTAGTATATATTAATTTAACAATTTTATACCCTAAAAACTATAATAATTATATATATATATATATATATATTAAATTAAATATTAAAAATTGGTGACCATTGGATCGGCTTATATATACATATCATTCAATTTCTTAAGTATTACACGTACAAAATAAATAAATTTAAACCTACTTAATAAATATATACACCATTGAACTTGATGGAATACAAATTCTACAAAACTAATTTCAACGATCCAACCGTCAAACTTGTTTGTATATGCTTTGAGATTGCATCAACAAAAAATTGCAAAAAATAAACATTCAGAGATCAAGTAACGGGACAAAATTTTTCGATGGTTATCAACGAAAAATCACGATTTAACGGTTATTTTAACTCCGATTTTTATGATTTTTTACAACTACACTCCTTAACCCTATATGAATACAATGAATGAACTCGATCTTCAATTTAAAATATTTACACTAGTAGATACCACAAAACAAGGTTCTAAAAAACGTTAGGCACTAGTCGGGTGGCCAGTTGGCGCCTAGCGCCTAGGCGGCTAGGCTGGGTCTAGGCGGACGCCTAAGCAGCCTAGGCAGATTTAGGTAAATTTCTTGTATATCTTATAAATAAGTGCATATTAACACTTACAAAAAATTATTCTTGTATATCTTGGAATAAATATATTATATACCATATAGATTAGTTAAATTTATTTTATAGTAGATGATTAAATATTGAGGAAGACATTATTTAAAAAATATATACATATCTAACATAAGAGTATAATATAAGCTGATCTTATTCTGATCATAAAAAGAAAAATAATAAAATAATGTAATGCAAGAGTGTAATATAGACTTTAAAGAGATAAAGGTGTCAAATATGTGGGCGTAGAATGCAAAGTGGGACATCAGACACATAGAGATGGGGAGCTACACCAATACTTAATAGCAAAAGTACACCTAGGGACTCACATCCCATGATTTTTTTATGAGAACAATCAATAGCTAGGTACTGACATCTCATTTTTTTTTCTTGAAAAATCATCTTGATGCTAGCTGTCCAAATGTGATTGGACAAAATTAAAAAATTAATTAAATAGAAAAGTTTGAGAGTGGTCATGTGAATGAAAGGAAGAGAGAGAAACTTATTTTCTCATCTTCTTCCTCTTTCGTCTTCACAAGAACACAGAACCAGCAACCCATAAAGTTTAGAACGCACTGCATTCATCCTTTCTCAAGCTTGAAAATAGAAAAAAATTGAGATTCCAGACCGCCTAGGCCAACCATTCGGCCGCCTAGGCCACCTAAAGAGCGCTTAGGCCACCTTGACGCCCGCCTAATCCCTTTGCCGATTTTCCTTCCGATTAAAAGTTAATCCCGGCGGCTGACCATCGCCCAGCGCCTAGGTCGATTTTTAGAACACTGCCACAAAATCTTATGTTATATTTAATGAAAGTATGAATAAACTCTTAAGTGTTAGTGAATCTATTGTTTTGATGGAATACACATTCTACGAAACTAGTTTCAAAGATCCAACCGTCAAACATGTTTGTATATACTTCAAGATCGTATACGCCAAAAATTGCAAAAAACAAACATTCAAAGTTCAAGTAACAGGACAAAACTTTTCGACTGTTATAAATGGAAAATCAGGATTTAAAGGTTATTTTAACTCCAATTTTGATAATTTTTTACCGCTACTCTCCTTGACCCTATATGAATACAATGAATGAATTCAATCTTCAATTTAAAATATTGACACTATGGGATACCTCAAAATCTTATGTTATACTTAATGAAAGTATGAATAAACTCTTAAGTGTTAGTGAATCTATCGTTTTGATGGGATACGCATTCTACGAAACTAATTTCAAAGATCCAATTGTCAAACTTGTTTGTATATGCTTCAAGATCGCATATGCCAAAAATCGCAAATAAACAAACATTCAGAGATCAAGTAACAGGACAAAACATTTCGACGGTTATCAACAAAAATCATGATTTAACGGTTATTTTAACTCTGATTTTGATGATTTTTTTACAGCTACATTCATTGACCCTATACGAATATAATGAATGAACTTGATCTTCAATTTAAAATACTTACACTAGTGGATACCACAAAATCTTATGTTATACTTAATGAAAGTATGAATAAACTCTTAAGTATTAGTGAATCTATTGTTTTGATGAGATACGCATTCTACGAAACTAGTTTCAAAGATCCAACCATCAAACATGTTTGTATATACTTCGAGATCGCATACACTAAAAATTACAAAAAAAACAAACATTCATAGATCAAGTAACGAGACAAAACTTTTCGACGGTTTTCAACGAAAAATTACGATTTAACGGTTATTTTAACTCCGATTTTGATGATTTTTCACAGTTACACTCCTTGACCTTATATGAATACAATGAATGAATTCGATCTTCAATTTAAAATATTTACACTAGTGGATACCACAAAATCTTATGTTATACTTAATGAAAGTATAAATAAACTCTAAGTGTTAGTGAATCTATCGTTTTGATGGGATACGCATTCTACGAAACTAATTTCAACGATCCAACCATCAAACTTGTTTGTATATGCTTCAAGATCTCATATGCCAAAAATCGCAAAAAACAAACATTCAGAGATCAAGTAACGGGACAAAACTTTTCGATGGTTATCAACGAAAAATCATGATTTAACAGTTATTTTAACTCCGATTTTGATGATTTTTTTTACAACTACACTCCTTGACCCTATATGAATACAATGAATGAATTCGATCTTCAATTTAAAGTGTTTACACTAGTGGATACCACAAAATCTTATGTCATAATGATCGCTGAAAATTGAGGATTTTGTAAAATGAATAACATGCATGCTTTGAGTTCCATTGGCAAGGTTTAAACTTTTGAGAAAGGCTTCACAACCTTGAAAACAAAAACTCTTTCATTTTGCGTATCCTTGCACATTTAATATTTTGTAATAGACTAATAGTGTATGGATGTTTGTTTATTAGGCTTTTATTTTCGAGTGTAGATGTAGTACTTAAACAACAAATGTGTTTTAATGTTTTGAAGTAATATTTACGTGCAATGTGTGGTATGTGCAAATTTAAGAAAAAATATATATTTTTCTTAACGGGTGTGATACGACACGACATGACCCGTTAAGATAACAGGTGTTACACGAACACGATAGACACAACCCGTTTGCCAGGCCTACTGAAAATATACAAAAATTATATTTTGTTGTCGGTTAGAAATGTGATTATATAAATCTTATTAAGATTCTATTATTCTTCATATGGTGTTTGTTTCAATTGTAATATCTAAACGATAAGAAATTTACATTTGTAGTACTATAAATAAAAACACAATGGGCTGAGATAACACACTTCAGAATTCACTAAATCTCTCTCTCTTTACACCTTTGGTGCACCTCTCTCTCTCTTACGCTCTATAATTCTTCAGCTAAATATACCAACCACACATTTTCAACACAATCTTGCTAATGCTAAGGAATTGAAGGTTCATGGAGAAGGTTTTTCTATAAATTCAAAAGCTCAACTTTCGTTTTCTGCCAATTAGATTCTTCTAAAACACAAACTTGATATTTTATCAATCCTGTTTGCATAAAAACATTCCTGATGCACGAAATCTATTATTTCATAATTTTAGGACTATATATATTATATTTGCATATATTTGTTAATTCATATATATATATATATATATATATATATATATATATATCAATATATATAAGGATGTTCATGCATACGCAATTGATATATATATATATAAAGATGTTCATGCATACGCAATTGATATATATATATATATATATATATATATATATATATATATATATATATATATAAAGATGTTCATGCATACGCAATTGATATTTATATATCTTGATGAAATTGCCATGTAGAATTTTGTGATAAAAGAAACCTAAAGCAAATAAAAGTATGAATTAGGGTTCTAAAAACCCGAAAATCGAGAAAAAAAGGGAAACCTGGGCCAGAGCTGCGACGTGAAGTAGTGGCCGCTGAGCCAAGTCGCGCTACTATGTTGGTTGGTCTGCAGCCAAACCCAAGCGTTGAGTCGTGTTGTCTCTAAGCTGCGCCAAGCCAAGCTATTGCTCGGGCTACATCATGGAACGATGTCGTATGGCGTTTGGTTTTCCTCAACCCTTTTGAGCTTGCTACGTGCAAGAATCAGGCCCATTATTATAAGACTCAAGTATTAGGCAATGTGCGATAATTGTGTTTTCAGAAATGAACTTTAGAAAAATGTGTATTTTTACCAGTCAAGGTAAAGACTTTTCAAGATAGGGAATCTTTATTAAACCGGGAGAATCCCTTAAGATATCTTGTAGCGCACACCAATCCTTAGATTGTAAGGACTTCAAGATTACAGGATACCTGGTGATTCATTGCTCTGGATTAGGTTTTTGTATCTTACAT